CCTCCCCCTCCCCACACACCCGTGGTCCCTGGGCCCAGTTCCCCTCTCAGGCCCACCAGCAAAGCCCTAACCCTGGTGGTCAGCACTGCCCACTCCAGCAGTCCCGGGGCTGGAGGAGACACTGACCACGCCCATCACTTATATTGAAAGTAGCACAAATTCCAAAAAGAACACAAGTGGAATACGGTGGTTTATCACAGAGGGAAGCCCACATAGCCCCTGCCAGGTCACAAGGAAAAGCGTGACCACGTTCCACTTCTCTCCACAGTCCTACACTGGATGCACCACCAAAAGCCACGGCGGCATGAATGGAACCGTGCAGACACGTTCTTCTGCATCTACCTTCTGTCTGGGACCTCGGTCCATGCTACGAGGCAGCCGCAGAGCCTTCCAGTACCCGAGTCAGTCTGTCCACTGTGGGTGCGGACCGTCCTGGCGACCGCCGCCCTGAACTCTCGCGCACTTCTCCTGGCACGTGCACACGACACTTGTCTCATTGCATGGCTGACGGCCCTGCTCGTGCTCCAGGGACGAGCGTCGGGGTGAAGCAGGTTCCGAGCATTCGCCGAGTCAGTCAGTCCTGCCCTTTGTGATCAGCGCTTTTTGTGCTCAGCTTAAAGAGTCGCTCCCTCCCCAGCCATGAAGACGTGCGACTACTGTGCCCTCTACTGACTCTGTGCCGCCAGTCGGATCTGCGATGACTGCGTGCACGGCACGGGGGAGAGTCGAGTTCTTTCTCTCTTTTTCCATGGAGACCTCCACTTACTCCAGCACCACCATCCCTGCTCGGCGCTCACAGCCCGAGGGTCCGCAGTGGCTGCGTCTGTCTGGGCTCTCTCTGCTACTCCACGTCTGTCTGTCTATCCGTGTGCCAACTCTTACGTTTACATCGCTCTAACTTGATCACAAATTCCAACAGCTGACCAAAAAAGTCTTCCTATCTATTCTTCTTCAAGAGTATCTTGGCTACACTTTGCCCTTTGCATTTCCAGGAAATTTTTGGAATCACCTTAAGCTCCAAAAACCACCTGTTGGGATTTTCATTAAAATTGTATTGAATCTATGTCATTTTCTAACTGCATCCACAACTGATTATTTTTTCCTTCTATTAATTTAAAATTTAGCCATTATTTTACTGTCTTAGGTTGCTCTGGAGATTACACTGTGCATCCTTCTCTTGTAAAAATCACATTTTATTACACCTTCCTCCTCTCCCTCGCCCGGTAAGCACCCGGAAACACCGAACCCCGTTTACCTCTGTCCCCGTGCTCACTCACTGCTGTGGTGTCATTTAACTTGACATATTTTTAAACCAAACAAAACAGAGTTAGTTCTGCTTTACACAGTCACAGCTCATTAGGATTGACCTGATGCACTGGCTACTTATCACCCTGCCACGCGCGGGTCCTTACCAGGTCCTCCTCACCACACTGTTCAGATGGCCCCAGTCTGAGTCTGCTCCAGGGAGCTCAAGCCAAGACCCCGGTGTCTCGAGCACTCCAGAAAGTGGGCTGGAAACTGGACTTGTGCAGCGGAGCTGGGCAGGGTGACTAGCAGGCCAGGTGACTGAGGACCGTTAAAGGCAAGATGTGAAAGCCGGAGCCTCTGGGAGGGGCCCAGGCACGGTTGTGAGGACCAGGAGTGGGGATATCACACCTGCTGAAGAGATGGAGACGGTCAGGGAGAGACAGGAGGTGTCAGCCTGTCCTCAGTTAGCCTGCCAGTGACAGCAGACCCCTGGCTGTTTGTCGTGAGGAGAGGGAACGTGACCGCAGGGCCTGGGGGCTGGTCCCAAGCCACCGCTAAACCTCTCGGGGCTCAGGCCCCTGAAGAGACCCCTCTCCCAGGAAAATGCAGAGACAACGCCTGGCGAAACTCCTGAAGGGAGAACGCAGGTGGGGCTGAGACCCCCTGCCGGAGGGACCCCAGAGCCCTGGGCCCCACGGGCAGGGTTCCTTCCCCTGCCCGGGACCCACTCCAGCCACCCACCCTGTCCACACACCCCGCCCAGCCCTGCAACCCACACCCGGACTCTCTGAAAACCCTCCGAACGAGTTCCCCTTCTCTCCTCTGGAAAAGGAGGTGAATCCGAGGCACTTCCAGCTCTAACAGCCAATGATTCCAATTCTGCATCAGAACACAAATTAACATACTGTTTTACACTCCCCCGCAAAAAAACAGTCAATTTATTCCAGATAATTGTTATTGTGTCTGTAAGAAATATCTCACAGTTAACTTTTAAAACGTCACTGAACTCAGACAGATGTCTGTACGCTTGTATTCAAAGCAGCAGCATCCATATCAGGCAGAGGTGGGGCCACCCCAGAGTCCATCACAGACAAATGGGCAAAGAGGACGTGGTCCGGCCACCCCAGAGTCCATCACAGACAAACGGGCAAACAGGATGTGGTCCAGCCACCCAAGAGTCCATCACAGACAAACGGGCAAACAGGACGTGGTCCAGCCACACAGTGGAGTATTATTCAGCCTTTAAAAGGAAGAAAATTTTACTGTGCTCAGTGAAAAAAGCCAGACACACAAGGACAAATACCGTATGATTAGATGAGACCAGTCAAGTTCACAGAGACAGAAAGTCAGATGCTGAGAGCCAGAGGCCAGGGAGGGGCCTGGGGCATGAGTTTCAACCGGGAAGGACGGAAGAGCTCTGGAGCTGATGGCAGACAGTTGCAAACAATGCGCATGTACTTACTGCCACTGAACTGGACACTTAAAATGGTAAATTTTATATTATATTTTACTGCAATTAAAAAAATATATAAAGACGTCCTAAACAAACGTAGACATAAGTCACAGAGAAGATCTTCAAAACATTTCTCCGACCGAGGATCTGTACCCAAAATATATTAAAAAAGAAAATTGCTATAAAATCTATTTTTAAAGTAATAAAATAAATTAAATAAAAAATCTTAAAACTAGGAGAAGGATATGTATAGGCTACTAATTCAAAAAGGAAAACACTTGAATAGACAAAGAACCCATGATGTGATGCTCAGCCTCACTCACAGTCAGTGAAATGCAGATTCAAACAAGCTGGCATTTTACTGGAACAGGGACAAATTCAAGATTAACAGTACCAAGCGTTGGTGAGCAGGGGGTCACAGGGACCCATGTCCTGCTGGTGACCAGAGCCTGTGAGTGGCGCTCGGCCGTGCCTGTCGCAGCCTCCTTGCTCCTGGATCACTGCCCACAGCCCCGGGTGGGTGCAAGGACACCTGTGTGACAGTGTCCACGGAAGCTCTGCTCAGAGATGGCTGTTCCCGCCTTCCACCGAGTGCCCGGTAACAGCAGAGTGGATAAAAAACTGTGGCATAGACATAATGAAATGCCACATAACAAGTAAAATAACTAAAACTACAAGGTATATAAAAACAGATTTAAAAGAACAAGTTTCTTCTGTATAGCACAAGGAGCTATATTCAATATCTTGCAGTAGCCTATAACGAAAAAGAATATGAAAACGAACATATGTATGTGTATGTACAACTGAAGCACGACGCTGTGCACCAGAAATTGACATTGTAACTGACTAGACTTCAATTTGAAAAAATTACAAGGCAAATCTTGAAAATATACTACAACGTTTTTAAAATGGCAGAATAAGACATACAGTAGGATTACACCCGTGTAAAATGTTAGAACATACAAAATGAGCCAGTAAAAGGACCGTGGATCCCAGGGGTTCAGGGCAAGCAGGGAGGGTGCACAGGGAAGCCCAGAGGATTTCAGGGTGTGAATGCTCTGGGTAACAAGGCAGCAGTGGCTGCGTGAGCTTACACGTTGTCCAAGCCTTCAGGATACGCAGCACAGAGAGGGACCTGTCTTGCAAGCTATGAACGTAGGCTGATGATAACATACCAGTGCACCGCACCAGTGCACCAGGGAACTCTCCGTGCCTCCTGCTTAACTCTTCTGCAAACCTAAAGCTGCTCTAAGAGTAAAGTCTATTAACTTTTGAAGGGCTACAGGTCAAAGAAAAGGACCACACAAAATGATGCTCTCAGTAGCTATGGATCAATACTGCATCTTTAAAAGGGAGTATGAAACAGAGCAGGACCCCTCCCGGCCTTCCTTTACAGACCCTCCTAGTGTCCCCTTCCTCTTGAGAAGCTTTAGCCTCCTAGGCCTTACCCAAGAGCAAATTTAACCAGACAAGTGAGAAAATGTAGAGACAGAGGAAACAGTCAAGCAAGACAAATAGTAATACTTTAGCCATAAAACAGAGTCAAGGACCTTCAGCTCCTCCTCAAAGGCTGTAGATAACACCCTGATTCATATCTTTGTTCTGCAGAAACTGAAACCCTCACCAGGCGAAAGAAGCTAACTGCACGCTGATCACCAGCACACAGAGCCCAGACTGGTTGGAACCAGAAGGCTGGCAATCGAGGTCCCCGAGACATCACCCTGTTACCTCCCCACCAACCAGTCAGAGAACTGTGCATGAGCTCATCACACACCCCGGGACCCCCGCCCTCACACTGCCTTTCAAAGCCCTTCCCTGAAGGCCTTTGGGGAGTTGGGGTCTTTTGAGCATGAGCTGCCCGTTCTCCTTGCTGGATGCCCTGCAATAAAGGCTGCACTTTCCTTCACCACAGCCTGGTGTCAGGAGATGGCTTTCCTGTGTGCTGGGCCAACAGACCCAAGTTTGGTTCAGTCACAGCGAATGACAGGCCCCCTAGAGAGTTCCTGTGAAGGTTAAACTAGTTCACATCCCAGAGTGTCTACGAGAGCGTCTGGCTCGTAAGAGAACAGGGGACATAGCACAATGCCGTGCAGACAGTGGAGTGGAGGAAAAGGGTTGGGGACGCGGGGTGGGGGAAGGGCCGGGGTGAGCAGAAGCCCCACTTGAAGACCGAGGTCACGAGAGGGAGGGGGGAGTAGGATCAGGGTGGGGTTCAAAACAGATTCAGCTGTGTCTGCAAGATTGCTTTTCATTTTTAAAAACCAGGAGAATGAAAGAAGCAAAACTAAAAAGAAGTTACCTCGAGATCATCAAGGGAGCGGGTGATGCTCAGCCTCCTGGCCCTCCCGAAAGATCTCCGAGCAGAGGCGCGCTGAGGTGGCAGGGCCAGCCCAAGGCCCCGCCCAAACTTTGAGCCCTAGACACAAAGAAAAAGATGTCATTACCTTCTTGGGAGGGGACTTGAGTTCTGCCTGACGCATGGCCTGGAGGAATCGGGGCCTCCAGATCGTCCAGGTCAAGGTCACCACAACATAAAACACAAACTTGAAAAAAAGAATCATCCTGGGATCCCCAGGCACTTGCTGTGCTGCTTCCAACTGTGCGTCCCAGAGAGCAACCCTAGCCTCGAAGTCCACGTCCCAGGGCAACGGGAAAGCACGAGGGGGTGGGGGAATCATTCGTGAGATAAAGACTGGTTTTCAGCAGGCTCCTGCTGGCACATAATTTTGTAAGCATTTTAGGAAACTAAAGAATCCCTAGACATTCAGCTGGTGTCTGAAGACCAAACCAACGCAAGTGCACGAAATAACCAGCCATTAAACATCTTATTCTTTGTTCGGGAAATGACCGGAATTAATCCACTGTCATTATGCCAGACACCTCCCCAAATGTGGTCTTGGTTCCAGCGAATAAATCATCACACTTTAAAAATAAAAAGCATCACAGCTGAAAATCTTTGATTTCCAGGGGACCTGAAATCCTGAGTGACCGACTTCAGGCACAAAGGACGTGCCATGTTTTCTAAAGACTAGGAAGTGGAGGGCTCTCCCTGCCCCCCACCTGCAGAAGGGCCCGGGCATCCTGCAGAAAGGGGAAACGTCGCGGCACTTCCTCGTAAAGCTCTCTGGGCTAAGTTTCTGCACCACGACCCCGCAGACGCTCACCCCCAACCCCATTAACGCACCTGTAACCCACCCTTCCGCAGGAAAGCACCTGCCCCCAAGCCCCTGGCCGCCTGCCGCCTGCCGCCTGCGGACGAGCCCCGCAGACGAGCCCCGCGGCTGCCCTACTGACACTCCTGACACCGCCACGGAGGAGCCCTCAGCGCCGGGACTGCCTTCTCTTCTACCCTCTTCTCCCAACAGCCCTCTTCCCAGGTTCCCTGCATCCTGCCCTCACCCAGAAGGCTCTCCTCAGGCCACGGTGCACGGGCAGCGCTGTGCTTCAGCGAAGTCCCGGCAAATCGCCACTGAGGCAGCACCCCTGCCAGCACCCCCAAACAGAACTGAACGGGGCGATTACGATCCAAATGGTCTAAAAATCAGCTTTCTTCAAAGCCAACTCGACTTTTTAAATTGCACACAACTCATCACAACTGCTTGTGAAGGCAAGGGGGTGACACCAGGCCCCCACCCGAGGCTGCTGCGCCCCAACGCCCGGAAGCACTGGTGGAGCCAAGTCCCCCTCACCGCCCGCAAGCGCCTCCCAGGAGGCCGGCCCCCGGCATCGAGGACACGACCTGGACGCCAGGATGGACTTCAGTGTGTGGCCCTCCCCACTCCTGGACCCTGCTCAGGACTGTCACCTCAAACCAAGAAGGGCCCCGGGCCCCGCAGGGATGCCTTCATTGGCCACAGACGAGGCCAAGGGAGGAGAAACAGCAGAACCTGGGTCGACTGACGGCTGCCCACTGCCTGGGGTGCCAGTCCAGCCTCCTCAACCACAGACGAGAACCCGCAGCCCGGGCGGGGCCTGCTCAGGGTCACGCGGCTGGAGGCAGTCAGGGCCAGACCCCGGTCGCGCCCCACGACAGTCAGAACTAGAAACGCCTGACCTGAAGCCTGCAAGCACTGGACCAGGAGCCCCAGTGGGGCGAGGGCTGTGCCCCCACCCCCCGAGCGCCTGGCGCACAGCAGGCGCTCACTGAGCAAACTCCAGCCAGGGAGGCTGCTTAGCTTAAGGCAGAGGCCAGATCATCCGGAGGTTTTTTCCAAGAGAATTTGAGGAGTAAGATGTCCAGCCAACACACTCATTCCTCCCACTATACTGTCAGAAAGCAAAACCACACCAGTTGTTTTAAGAGAGAATTTCATATAAGGAACTGCAAACCAGGTATCGAGAACTGAAAAGGTAAAAAGAGACCCCAGGATGGCGGTGGGGGGCCTGCACCCCGGGGACTGGGGCAGCACAGGAGAGGAGAAGGGTTTAAATTCTGCGCCAGATGCAACGTGGGTGGTGCTGGGACCCGAACCTCGGACCTCAGAGTGGGCAGGGGTGACAGCTGGTGTCTGGGGGGCATTGAGGCCCCAGAGAGATGAGGAAACAGCAAACTGGACTCAAGTGCAGTGCCAGGAGGAACTGCAAGACGCCCCTTCCCCTTTTCCCACCCATCCCCTGGGAGCAGAGCCTGACAGGGACCCATCTGGCAAGGGGAAAGGGGCACAGACTTCCCGCCAGAGCTGGTCACGGAGGTGGCCTGAGCTGAATGACATGCACAACCTCTGAAACTTGTTCCCACAAAACACTGAACATCAGGAAGAATGCCAAGCCCCAAATCAAAATGATTTTAGAATCAACAAAATTCCGTTTCCAACATGAAACTAGACAACAATGTGGAGGTGACTATGGAGTGACGTGTGGAGCTGAAGGAAGGGGCTCCTCGCCACACAGAGTCCCCCTCTTGAGAAAGAAGCAGAGACTGGGTCTCCTGCACAAGAAAGAAAAGGGTGAATATACAGGAAAGGACATTCAGATCAGGACAGAAAATTAAGGAATATGTTTGCTTATTCAACAAATACCTAAGTGCCAGGCAGTCACTGAGGATGAAAACCTTTAAAAGATAGAACAAGGTGGGCAGCATAACTTTCAAGCCAATAAAGAAGGTGATGAACGAAGCTAGCAACAGCCTTGAAAGCAAAACACACCAACAAAGGCAGGACAGCACAGGGAGAGGGCGAGGGCCTAGAAAAGACAGATTTACAGAAAGTACACAGTAACATCACGGAACCAAGACTCCACATGCCAGTAATCCCAATAAATATAAATGGACTAAATTTGCCAATTTATTCTGATCTTACTCTTGAACTATCAGAATGTCAAACTGGATCAGGAAAGATATCCCACTATCTACCACTTCTGGTAGCAATCCTAGCACACGGAGAACTGGAAAAGTTTAAACAAAATGACAGAAAATTCTGACTCAGAGAAAGCTCATGTAGCTATATTAATAACAGACAAAACAAATTTCATCTCTTAATAGGATTTTTTAAACAAAAGATTCAATATGCCAAAAGGGAGGAAGAAGAGATTTCCAGTCGAGATGGCGGAGTGGTAGGACCACGAGCTCGCCTCTCCTCGTGACTGCAACAAATCCACAACTGACTGCTAGACAACCACCGGAAAAAAGACTGGAACTTAGCAAAAAAGATCTGCAACTGAAAACATAAAGAGGGAACCACAGCAGGACGGTAGGAGGGGCGTGCTCGCAATATAACTGGGTCCCATTCCCCCTGGGTGGGTGACCCACAAGCTGAACAATAGCTAAGTCACCCTCCCACAGAAGTGAGAGCTCTAAGCCCCTTGTCAGGCTCCCCAGCCCGGGTTCTGGCTTTGGGAAGAGAAGGAGACCCCAGGAAATCTGGGTTTGAAGGCCAGGGGGACTTGGCTCTGGGAGCCTCATGGGATTGGGGGAAAAGGAGACTCCATTTGCTTGGGAAGCATACACGGAAACTTGCGTGTGCTGAGTCCAAGGGCAGAGGCAGTGATTTCACAGGAACCTGGGCCAGACCTGCCTGCTGGATTTGGAGGGTCCCCAGGGGACATGGTGGATGGCTGTGGCTCATCCAGGGGACATAAAAGCTGGTGGTGGATATTCTGAGAGTGTTCATATACAAGAGCTTTCCTGGAGGCTAACATCTCGAATGGATCGTTAGCATCAAGATCCAGCGCCATCCAACAGCCTGTGGGGAAGCCTCAGACCAAACAGCACACTGGGTGGGAGCACAGCCCCACCCAGCAGCAGACCTCCTGAGCCTCTAGACACGGCCCTACCCACCAGAGGTCCAGGACCAAGCTCCACCCAGCAGTGGGCAGGCCCCAGCTCCTCCTGCCAGGAAACCTGCATTAGCCCCTAGTCCAGCCTCATCCACCAGGGAGCAGATACCAGAAATAAGAAAACAACAATCCCAAAGCCTGTGGAAGGAATCCACAAATACACAGAAAGATAGACAATAGGAGGCAGCCAAGGAGTATCTCCCAGGCCAAGGCACAAGATAAAATCCCAGAAGAAGAAATAAGTGATGAGGAGACAGGCAGTTTATCCGAGAAAGAGTTTAAAGTAATGATGGTGAAGATGTTCAGAGAACTCAAGAGTACAGATGTACAGAGTGAAGTTTTTAGCAGAGTTGGAAAATATAAAGAATACCCAAACAGAGTTGAAGAGTAAAGTCACTGAAATGAGTAAGACACCAGAAGGAACCAAGAACAGACTGAATGAGGCAGAAGAACGGATCAGTGAGCTAGAAGACAGATTAGTGGGAGTCACTACTGCAGAACAGAAAAAAGAAAGAATTAAAGAAATGAGGATCGTTTAAGAGCACTCTGGGACAACATGAAGTGCACTAATATTCGCATTACAAGGGTCCCAGAAAGAGAAGGGAGGGAGAT